AAAAACAGTTATTAAGCCAACATTTGGCTGAAATCATTTCACGTACCAGTTCCCAAAGCTTGGCCATATTCCTTTATAGTCGTATATCTGCTTGTGTTTGCATCTCGGGGGCATTTGACGCATGTTTGGGAATTATAAAGATGCAGAATAATTAAAATATAAACAATGGGAGCCACAACAGGAGCCATGCGTCAATATATCAGAGATAAGCAAGCTGCATTGCCTGAATATAATATGCCCATCCATCTTTATGACTAAATGAGCAGTAAAACCCAGGAAAACGGCTACACTCAAAATAAAATTAACCCTAAAGTTAAGGAAATCGCCCTACTTTTGTCTTCAAGACAAGCTCGCCCTAAATTTTAGGGTCACATTTTTCTATATTTTTGATTTTTTTTGACGTCATATTTCTAAATTTTAGGGTAATTTTACTAAATTTAAGGGCAAAAATTTCTAAAAAGTAGGAAATTTTCCTAAAAAATAGAAATTAAAAACAAAACAAAATAACATGTTCAATCATGATTTTTTTTTGTATATACGTTTATATTATGTACACCTCCCTATATACATATGCAGGCGTTGTGTGTCTTGTATATTGTGAATGTTAAATGTTATGTATTTATTATTATGTATTTGCGCTTGGATTTCTTATCTAACCAAAGCCAAATGTTGCTGTAAATGTGGACTACGGGACTGCGGAAGATTGGGAATGTAGAAATTATGATTAGTTAATATTTTATCTTCATGAAAAAAACTTACATTTTTACTTGTCCGTCGGTGAGAATCGAACCCGGGTCTCCCGCGCGAAGAGCGAACGGCCTACATACTGGGCCATTGTAGCACTTAAATTTGCTGTGGCAAACCGAGCATTGTATGTAAAGGGTCAAGCGGAGAATACATTTGAAAACTAATTGCATAATTTTGACCATTCGCGTTTTACTTATTTACATACATATATACTTATGTATATATTTATGCTATCGCAATTTATATTTTGTGTAGTATATAGTAAATAGCTAAATATAAACCAAATTAATTTCGGTTTACCGCTTGCCATCAATAAAAAAAAGGAATAAAAAAAAGAGTCAAAAAACAAATTTAAAAAAAAACTTTTAAAAAAAATATAAAAAAACAAAAAAAAGTAAAAATAGTTTGCTCTGGGACTCGAACCAGGGTCGATTCGATTTCTAACCGAGCGCTTTAACCGTCTGCGCTACGAGTACAGCCGCCCGGGAGCTGACAAGTTCTGGCATTGAACATTTTGGTGTGCCAGAGCATGTGAAAACAACTATTTCTATTTTTTAGAAAAACTTTCTAATTTTTAGAAAATGTTTCTATTATTTAGGGTTAGCTTAATTTTAGGGTTAGGGCACTCATTTTTAGAAAAAGTGTTGCCAAAATATTTTATTAGTTTCGTTTGCCTTTCTATTTTTCAGAAAATTATTTCTAATTTTAAGGGCATTTTTTCTAGATTTTAGGGTGATTTTAGTTCATGGTAACCATTTTCTACATTTAAGAAATACTTCCTGGATTTAAGGAAAACTTTCTTGACTTAAGAAAAATTTCCTTAGATTTAGAAATAACTTTCTTGTATTTAGAAAAAATAAATTTTAATGGCGATTTTCTAAAATTTAGGGTTAAATTTATTTTGAGTGTACAGTGATTTCGGTTATATAAAGAAGGTATCAAAAGTTGTAATTATTTATCAGTTGTTATATTTAAGTGAATTAAAAATTAACAAAAATATGTATATTGCAGTAGATAAGTTCCGTTCGAAAAGTATCTCAATGTAATAAAAGGGCTGTTGACTTAAATAAATGTTTTGTATTGCCCACAAATTGGAAACTCTAGGACTACATTAGTGTGGAACATAATCCAAATAAAACGTATTGATTTTCTGTCTAGGAAATATTGCGCAATCAGGAACCACAGTGCATTACGGTCAAAATATGATAAAAATGTGTGTGTTGGTGTATCTTAGTTTATTGGAAGGAAAGTAGGCGGCTGTGTGGGGCCGTCAAAAGCATTCATAAAATGTACAAAACGTCCGATCGACTTGAACCCATCGAACAAACGAAAATAACTCATACGCCGTGGTGGTTTCCGGAGGGACGTAACTGAGGGGGTGGCCACCAGAAAATGCCGTGGGAGGAGCGACTTGGCAACGCGCTGTGTGCTCGAAGATTAAAAATAAGTTTTACCACAGAAAATGCAAACACTACAAACAATCACGGCCACGTCGTCTGCTCTATGTTTACCCGAGATTCAAAACGAGAAGCAAATAGGCGACGAGCTGATAATGAAGACAAATCAACAGAACACACACCACACAGATCGGAACCGTTTACAGATTGGATAGATCGGATTAAATTATGCTCGACCTCCGCCCAGCAGCTTCATCACTTGCCCCAAAAGAGCTTTACATTTGTTTGTTTGTTTTTCCGCCTGTTTGTTTAGCTTCTTCTCGGCGGGACTTAATCTAGGGGGCGGGATTAGCCAAGGGGCAAAAGAAAAATCTGGGGAGAGAGAATTCTTTAGAAGAACCCAAACAAAGAAATGGGAACAGCATAACTTTTGATCTCTGAATATGTATAGCTTCTAAGGTGTATACTTAATTTCGGCCAAAAAGCCATCAAAAAGTCGGTTTTCGAATTTATAAATAAAATAGAAAGTATACAGGGCTCAGCCCAAAATTAAAATTCAACTCGCATGGGCAGAAGCACCATAAATTCATGATTAAAAATCCAAACTTTAAAAGCCATTGTTTAGAAATGAAAAAACAAAAATGCAGGAAAAGTGGAGAGGTGTATATTAGGGGTAAACTTTAATTTGCGTGTGCAGGCAGGGCAAAAACACAGATTGGAACTGACCCAAAAACGCCAACATGCGACACAGTCAGACTAATCAAAAAATTACAACAGGAAAAGTTGAAAAATACACACGAAAAATTAAATAAATAGGTGAATGGGTGAACAAGTGAACGAGTGAGTGAATGAATGAATGAATGGGTGGCCCTAAACCTCTGTTCAAAGCAATTTGTGCGCAGTCGAGGAAGAGAAAAAACTAAAGCAAACAAAAAACACCCATTTGTTGTAGCTTTTTCTCTTACTGATTTTTGGTGAATTTACTAAAATGGTTATCATTGTTGTTATTGTGTTCGCCGAGACACAACAAAAATTTGTATAATTTCTGATCGCTGTTGTTGCTGGCTTTGTTTTAAAAACGCGCTTTCTCCGCCTGAGAATGAGAAATGAAAACAAAAGTCAATGACGAATTTGAGAAATTTCGTGCCTTTTTTTTGTTGTCTAGAAACCCTAAAACCGGAATTAGTTGCCGTGACTCTTTCTTCCAAATAGAGCAGTTCCCAAAAAAAACAAAAACAATTATAATACTAAAGTATTTTAACACATCTGGACACATTTATTCCTGAAAACGAAATAGCTGGGACGTAAACATTTTGCCAACTTATTTGTTGAATACTTTGTGTGTTCGTTTTTTATGACTTTTTAATTGCTACTCTGAGATGGAAACTTTAAGTGCTTCCAGTAAACAATAATGGGCACATTGAGGGAAATTTACACTCTCAGAAGTCTGCCTAAATAAACATTCTTAATCAATGGAAGCGGGGTAGTTGTGGCTATTAGTAAACTCGAACTTCTTCATAAAGTTTTTTGCCGACGTTGTGGAAAAAGTTAATTAATATTTACGTTTCCTTGATTCCAGAAAAGTACCCATTCCCTTCCCTTTCGTTCCACACAAAACTAATCAGTTTTCAAGTACCTTTATGATGTAACTAATGCTCAACGCGACTGCCAGATTATGAAAACATTTCCGCCGATGACTATTAAATGAAACTGTATTCAATGCTCGCTTAAAGGCGTAATTAGACAATATGTGAAAACTCATTCAGCGCTTGCACAAAAGGCAAAGCAAAAGCAAAGCCAAAGGCGAAAGCATTTCACTGACGAAGATAAATAAAATATAGACATAAAACCAACTGCATGGTGAATTGAACAGAGGCTATAAACGAATAAAACGATTTAGATGGGGATTGGGAAACGAAATGAAAAGTTTTAACGACTGTGGAAATTAATACACAAGACGGCAGCTGCAGAACCGCCTGAAAAAGCTATGCATTTCTTATGGTTAAAGAGTTTAAAAGAATTATAATTATTCTTGAAAGTTGTGTAAAATGAGAAGGAAAGAAAACCCATTATCATATTAACTTTTATAAGAAGGTAATTTGTAATGAAATTTTTTAAAAATCTCTCATTATAAAAAGAAATTATTGCCAACTCTTGAATCCAGGATTTATGTTGCATATTTCTTGAATACTACATTTCCCTTAAATATTTCTCCGAGTGGGGAGAATTTGGGGGATAATCCTAGATAGACAGGTACAGCATTTGCAAGGTCTTAAGCTTCATAAGACTCTTGGTATCATGTGATGTTTCTAACCAAAAGGAACTTTTCACAGAAAGAGCATACAAATCGTATCGCAAATCGAAAGGAATGGGATCTAAGGTTCGGATCCGATTTTCGGCTAAGGTTGAATGCCCTCGTGGGCAAAGTTTGACTACTAGGAAGTCCTTAAGTCGTACCAATCGCTGACGTAGCAATCGATTTTCCCACATTTTCAGTCAGTCGAAAAAGTTATCCCTCCGCAAGTTCCCTTCTCGTGTTCCCTCGAATCGAACTGCAGTTTCAGCTGTTGAAGCTTTGTTTCTGGCGACTTTGATTGATATTGTGTGACACACTCGGAGCGATTTGATTTCAATTTTCGTCACCGTAGCTCTTACATTTCAGGGGTTTTTCGGTGAAAAAGAAGTCACGTAATATCCCGCCATCTGGCCATCATTGCAATAATACTAACAACTTGATTTCGCAGGCCATGTGTGCGTGTGGGAAGTTCGCAGAGCAGCTGGCAAAACCCGTTGACATGTTTTCGAAAAAACGATAACAATGGCAAAATCAAAACAAATCGGTTTTTGAGGACTCACCTTCAACTATCAGCTTTCCTTGCGTTTCCTCCTTGCTTTCAATTTTCACTGCGACTTTTCATTCAATTTTTGACTGTTCATTGAGATTCTTTCGCACATTCATTTGCCGATTTATTTGTAAACACACAAATCAAAGAGATTCCTCTAATTATTTAGCAGCATTTAAATTGCACATTTTTGTTTTGCTGAAAATGATTTGATAAATTCTTTTACTTATTGAACAATAACAATAGCGGACTGTTTGTCTCTTCCAAGGAGAGAGAAAAAGAGAGCAAGTCGAGCGGGACGAATGGAGAGCGGGCTGTTCAACCGGTTTTGGGGCTTATTAATCGAGAGAAAAAAGGCAGCAGCACAAACACCGTTAGAAAGAGAGCGCAACGTGATCGCTCGATTATGTTGATTCCCCAATGTTGATAGTTTTTTTATCCGACTCTTTTTGTTACGTGCAAAGATTTGGCAAGAAATCCCAGCTAATTGGGGCTACCAACAGCAAAAGGCAAAGAAAGAGAGAAGAGATGGGGAGCAGAGAAGAGAAGAGAGCGCCAGCCAAGCGCAAGAAATGGAACAACACATACAAATATTGGAATTACACATCAAGGTGTAAACGCAGGGTAAATCGTTTAAAAACAAACCAAACGAAACAAGTATTAAGTATCAAGTATCTTTGTAAACTACACTCAAAAATATTTACATGATGATTCCCAAAATCTCCAGTATGCTACATACTGAAACAAGATAAAGTATCTTTGTAAACTACATTCAAAAATATCTATAAGATGATTCCCACAATCTTTAACAATAATCAGTATGCTACATTTTACCATACCTTAGGAACAAGTTCCGAACAACCTTCTAAAAATCCTACTTTTTTCAGTAATTAAATCTGAAAACTCATGAGCTGTTTTTTGTATAATTTAAGTATGTCATTACACTATGACACCATCAAACTAATCTTATAGTAAACAGCAAAAACTAATTTGAATTTAATGTGTCTAACATATTTTTTTGATATTTAGCAGCGATCGTAAATAAGTGTTATTTGACACTATTATTTTTAAAAGACTAGCAATGCTATTTAAAAGATTATTTTACTTCGTTAAAAAACATAAATAGCCATATAAAAAAAACACTTCAAAAATAAGTTCAAACAAGATTAAGCCAGGCATATTTTAAATTTAATTATTGTTTTTGTCCAGATTTTAATAGTATATTTTCCTAGGAAATTGCAATATCTCACACAATGAATATCTTCTGCTATGAACCAAGTATGCCATTTGGCGTATTCAGTCTTTCGCATAAACACATTTTTAACAATACAATTTCTTTGAAAACCATTAAATAAATTCTCGGTAAATTTATTTAGTTTTAGTTAGTATTAGTTTTCTTCGCTTTTGTAATACCTCAATCTAATGGGAAATTAGCGTTTCTAATAGCCGTGACAGATATTTACAGGAAATGTAATCAAAACTTTTATTCGGATGAAAACACTTGTGCAGTTCGTACTTTGCTTCATTTAAGCGTTTTTTTTTAATTTCCAATACGTCCCATAGAAAGTGGCATTTCTTTGTTGAACTAATTTTGATGCCAAGCTTGTCACACTCTTTTTTATAATAGCTCTGATAAATCCAGAGAAAAACCCGTTTTCCTTAATTTTTGGGTATCAACAGTTAATTTCGAACGTGTCTGAATCATTCTCGAGACTTGAAGTACAGAAACGTACAGAATGTCATTGATCATTTATCGGCAACCAATAGAAATACGATTTTTCCATTAGCACCGGTCTGCAAAATCATTCGCCTTTTGTCAAAAATCACACAACCTATAGATATAAAAGAATTGTAAGCATGTGCGAGTACTATATATACCAACTTGTACACATGTGTCAATTGTACATACTTAGCGTGCGTTTTTATTTTTTTCCTTGCTTATGAGTTGCTTTGGTCTGGCAATGAACGATTATGCAAAAATAAATCAATTGAAAAGCAACAACGAAAAAAACGCAAGAAAACGCCACAAAGGAAAACTCTGTGGGGGAGCGAGCGAAGAGAGCGAGTGGGAGGGGAAAAAGGGAATCTGTAACAAGTGCCTTCAAAAGGAAAACAGGGTGTCTCAATATAAAGAAAACCCATCCAACACCTTGATAATTTTCACACTCATTTTCTTTGGCATTGGAATTTTCCTAAAATAAGAGAATGAAAATGCTCTAAAAAGGCATTTACGTGGAAAACTAACTACAAAAAGGAAATAAAATTCGATTTACGAAAAACATTTTAAATCGTCTATATTTCTAAAAACTTGTTCGGATATTTCCCATTTATGCAGAGCAAAATATTATCTAAAATGAATAACTTTAAAATGTAATGTTGTATACATAAAAGGTTAAACTTTCTAAATCATAATTTAGATTCAACACACTATATCACATTTTCGATTTAACTTTTCTAATGACATTATACAATTTATTCATTGTCTATTTGATCTATAAATTAGTTTTTCGCACTAAAAGGCTCTTTTGCACATTTGAATAGTTTATTTATTGCATTATGAAAGAACAACAAATAGTTTACCACACAGAAAGAGGGAGAAAATAAAAGAGAGAGAGCAACCCTGTAAGCCCCACTCACACACACACCTTTACCTGGTGGTTATGCAGAGCGAGACGAGACGAGTCTGGGCCGCAGGAGGTCGAAAAGGGACAGGAGAGGATGGGGAGACAAAGAGACAGACGGACGGAGCGACAGCAACATAAGAAGACGAGACAGAACAGATGTCCGCACGCACACACAGGTGAGGAGCAAAACACCAGGGCAAATAAGAGATTTCAGAGCAGACTTATCACTCTTTTCAAACTCGTATTCCTCAAGGACCCTTCGCACTCTTATCACTTCTTTGTTTGGGTTACTGACCCGTAATTGCACGTTATTTATGTTTGATCACACCCACACACACGCCCGCCGGAGCGATGCTTTTCGCGAAAGTATAGCAAATCAATTCAACGCTTTTCCGTTTGGCTGCCACAAGAAAACAAAAAGGTGGCTCAATAACTCCGACGCGAATCCCGTTTAATTCAATCTTAGCCGTCCGTCAAATTTTTACCATCCGACGATTTTGGATTTCAAAAGACGAATGGTGATAAAAACGAATGGGGAAAGACAGAGCGAATGTGCGCTCTCAGTTTAGAGGTGGAAGAAATACCGATATATCGGCACTTGACGCAGCCTCCAATGTAATTATTTAAAAAATGTACAATAAAAAAGTTTCGGTGGTAAGAATTCAAATAAATAAATAAACAGTATTCGGGGGTTTTTAAGTTGTAAAACTTACCAGTGAACGGAGTATCAAGTCGGAGATTTCTTTTCAACTTTCATCACTATCTCAGCCTTAGCTTTGACACAAACCAAGTTTTAGCCTACACTCAAACCCTCTGGAAACGGCGCACTAATAGATAGATTCCACTGGCACGTATTTAAACATTTATCCCTGGTCTCTTACACTAAAGTTTGGAACCAAAATAAGTATTGAGTTTTTTTTTAAATTGTAGCATATCACGAATGATTCTAACAGCAACTAAAGATGATGGGTGGTAGCTTCAAGTAAGGAACGCCCTGGTTCCGGCTCTTATTTCGTCGGTAAAAGCGGTGAGTTTCCAATTTAATCCACTTGCTCGCTCCACTGTTTTTTTTTCATTGCTTATTTTAGGATTTACTATTTGTATACATTTATATTAATTTTTTTACTTGGTGGGTTTATAAATTTGTGTTTGCATTTTTGCATTTAAATTTAATTTTTGATAAAAAAAACAAAATGTTTTTACTTTTAGTTTCAAGTTTCGTCTTTGGTTCTGTTAAGCGCTAACATTTGAGTAGCTTGAGTCTGTTCAGCTACAGCTGCATTGAGTGGTTTTCGTATGGCCGTTAACAGTGCGCAAGAATTGGAGTGTTGTAAAGACGGAAATTATTTAAATTTTGTTCTGCCATTTGAATTCCGGGCGGAAACTTCAAGTCCTGGCGGGAATTTTAAATTGAATGTTATAAACTTTAACGACAAACGCCCCCCAGTACGAAAATGGAAATTGCCCTTCCCATTTACAATGATATAATAAACACACCTTTAACGCTTTAGGTAAATATACATTTATTTCATTTAATGATTTCTTGCTTTTCAACAATGTAAATATTCAGCTAACGATTTTGCTCTCTGGTATTCATCCTGTTAACGTACCAAGTTAATTTCGAATTGCATTTAGAGTTTGTCTTATTGTATTCTTTTTGAAGAGGACTACGAGTAGAGTAAATGGTTTAGTACAACTAATGGATTACAACAATCGATTATTACCACTTGTCATTGCATGGTCTCAATAAAAAAGTAAAAAATTCACTTGCTCACACAACAAACTAAGAAACAGAAGGTGAGAAACAATTCTGTCAATACTTGAATCAATGCAACTAACGTACAAGTCTAGGTCTATAGGTATGTGTATAATATATCTTATGCTTAGGTATATCCTTCATGAGTGTAGAATCACAGCCTTTTCATCGAACTCGCAATGGAGTTCTGTTGTGTTTGAATTGTCAAGTATTTCTGTTAGGGTGATACTATGTTAGTCGCTAGTTTAAATAATAGTACATTGTACCCACACGAATTAGCATTGTATTTTCGGTTCTGTTTAATAATAGTCGGTTAGGTTGGGTTCGGATCTAGAGCCCTGGCTCTCTACTTATATACAAATAAATATGTAAACTATGACATAAGTGCAATTGTGCAATTGCTTTCTTTCTAGTGTTAACATTTTAACTAAAACTCGGATATTTAACTCGGAAATCTAAGCACGTCTTCAACAAATCATTCGCTAAACAAATTCTTTCAATTGATCACTAAGTACATTTAAGCTAAATGCTTTCGGAACCTACTGAACGAAGTGGATCAACTAAACTAACGCAATATTAATAATAATCGGTGTCGAAGGCCACATTTTTAGAGTGAAAGCACATGTGTACAAGTTTGTGGGGTTGCTAGTCGTGATTCCTTATCCTAGTTGCTGCTGAGATAGCCGAGGAATTGCATTTTGGCGCTCGATCAGGTAATCGTTGTTATAATCTGATTCTTAGACCCATAATCGGTGATTCTGAAAAAATATATGTAGTTACTTAGTTAAGATTCGAGGCTAGATGGTGAATTTAGAAAGCAATGTACAAATAAAAAGACACAAAATCATAAAATAAAAAAAAGTTACATGCACAAAAGTGAGTAATCATATTGTGCAAAGAAAATCGTTTAAGCTTGCTGTCAATTGAAGTATTTTGTGCCTTTTTACCTATAGATTGATGAGGCTGACGTGGAGCGCGACCAAGTAACTAACAAACCCTCACCTCTGCTGCGCTCGCGTTTGCTTTGCAGGATAACTTTGGTGCTGTCGTCGGGACACAGTGAGATTCGCACTGTGGTTAGGAGCAGTCTATAAAAATGATAAAAATTAGTACAAAATATTTAAATTTAATTGCATTTCTTATACTAACCGTGGCAAAACAGCCACCACTGTGGAAAGCATTATCACCAGCCAGTGGACAGCAGAGCCGAAGCACACGAAGATCACCCAGTATGAGGAGCGCACTCCGAAGCAGTTCAAGCACATCGAATCGTACACAATCGAAAAGAGGTAGAAGGAACCTAAGCTGAGCACTATGGATAAGACATGCAGCACAGTCTGAAACAAGAATTATAATAATGTAAATAATTACCCAATTTAACTAATAGCTAAAACTAACTTACCCAGGAACGTATTTCAATGGCACAGTGCACGAGATTGGCGAACAGGCAGGACGCCGTTATCGTCGTGCCGAACTCCCAGATTCCCACATCGGTCTCCGCATAGGCGCACAGCGCCACAAAGAATATCACCAAGCTCTGATAGAGGGAGTCCAGTAGTATCAGCCAGAAGTCGTGCGGTCTATAAGCTACGCCCAGTCGACCCTGAAATGATAAATATTAATGGATTAAACATTTAGTAATCAGATAGCCGGTTTAATTAACTGGTTTAAAATCATATTTTTAATCCAGAGATTGGCTTTGCTGCTCACATTTTTATAGAGATATGGATTTTTTAACAGGAGATCTTCGGGCACTCGCTTATCGTACACTCCAATCGCAAGAGGCGGCAGCGAGGTGAATATCAAATTGTACAGCATCAAGTACATCTGATCCATCATCACTTGGCCAGAGAAGCCGCAATACAACTGGTACCAGAATATCAGAAAGACAAAGGCCTGATGGAATAGAAGGTTGTTAGATTTATAAATATTTAATTTATATTGCAGATTTCTAAAGACTTACCGCATTCTTATAGAAGAAATACAAAATCATGCGGGACAATCGATCGTAGCACCAATAGCCATGTGCCAACAGCAGGCGCTCCAGGTAACGAAAGCGGGGAAGTGTGAAATCGGCGGCCATCACAGCCTGCATGCCTTCCTGGCCGGAGATTCCAACGCCCACATCGGCCATCTGGATCATGGACACATCGTTGGCGCCATCCCCGATGGCCAGAGTTCGCAGATTGAGCTCCTCTTTGACCACTTTGACTAGGTATGCCTTCTGCAACGGCGTGGAGCGGCAACAGAGCACCGAAGCGCACCGCTTGGACAAGCGCAGAAAAGGCAGAATCAGTTTGGACCTGGTAAAAATAGGGTCAGTAATAAGTTGATGAAAAAATAAAAACCTTTTTAAAACCTACTTGGGATCTAGAATAAAGGTTAACGTCTTTCCATCCACTACCAATGCGCGCTGCTTCTTTCTTAAAGTCTGGCCATAGCCCAACGAGGATGTTATCTTGTCATTCTCCATGTCAGTCAGATAGAAATTGATGGCTGTTTCAGCTGCATCGCGTGACCGTGCTGTCAATCTAAAAAAAATACAGAAAATCAATTTAGAAACATTTTTTTCTACTTTCTAAAGCCAGTTACCTGATCAGCTCCATTTGCTGGGTGAATAGTTTTGCAGAGTAGGCAATATTTATGGCCGTTTCGGGTTTGTCACCAGTCAGAACCCAAACTGAGATCCCAGCGGAGAGTAGCGATGCTATCGTCTCCGGCACTCCATCCTGCAGGCGATCCTCGATTCCTGTTGCCCCCAACAGGGTCAAATTGCTTTCCAATTTCGCAAAGGAGTCGCGTAGCCTTCGCTCGCGATTCTCCAGCGACATCTCGATTTCCTGATGACGCGCCCACCAATCCGTATAGTCGGCAGAGTTCAGGGTCCGCTTGGCCATCACCAAGATGCGCAGACCCTCGCGGGCATAGCGATCTAACTGTTGCTGGGTTTGTTCTCGCAGAATGCCTAAAGTCAAAAAGAAATCGATTATTAAGAAGAACTTATACGGTTCTCCTACGATTGATTCTTTGTGAAATGTATCGAGATTTTCTTTAAGGTCTTAAAACGATATCTATCATAACATTAAAAAAAGATTTTGAAAAGTTTTAAAAAAATCCATTTGACAGAAGTGAAGATATGGCCACGTAATTTTTTTGTTTAATTTATTAATAATATTAATCGACGTGGGGTAAAAAATAATTAAAAATACCCAAAAACAAGAAAGGAAGCTAGCTTCGGCCAGCCGAAGCTTATATACCCTTGCAGATCATTCCTATTAATTAACAAATCGCAAAAATGTTAATTTTCTAATATTTCTCATTAATTTTCCGATCGTTCCTATGGCAGTTATATGATATAGTCGTCCGATTTTGATAAAATTAAAATTGAAATTCGGAAATATTTAAAAAGAGTCATATCCTAGAGTAGAAGATAATACAATAAAAATCAAAGAAGCTAGAATTTATTTCCTATTACTTTTCCATTAATTTTCCGATCGTTCCTATGGCAGCTATATGATATAGTAGTCCGATTTTTTAAATAATTAATTCGAAATTCAGAAATATTTAAAAAATAACATCCCCAAAAGTAGAAGGTAATATTTCAAAAAACACCGAAGCTAGAATTTTTTAAAGTTTTTTTCTTCCGATCCTTCCTATGGGAGCTATAAGATATAGTTGTCCGATCCGGTCGGCTCCGACATATATACTACCTGCAATAGAAAGAAGACTTTTGCGAAAGTTTCGTCCCGATAGCTCAAAAACTGAGAGACTAGTT